CTAAACCCCTAAACCCTAAACATTGCCTGGAAGAGTTCTCCCGACCAGACAGGTCGGCAGTGTTGCTGTTTGCTGAGACTTGGAGCCAGAGCCTCTGGGTGCCTCAGAGACTCCAAAACCCCTTAACTAAGGAATATACTTTAAATCATAGGAGGGATCCTGATTTATAATTTAAGGTATATTCCTTAATTAAGGGGTTTGGGAGTCTGTGGGGCCAGCGGAGGTATTGTGATCCTTCCGAGCTGAACGTCACTCTGAGCGATAATGATGAGCTGGGTTAGACTGATGCATGCCCTGAGAGCTCGCCACTGGCCCCGGCATTCAGTGCCGAGTTGATCTCGCACGACAAGTCTACAATGAACGTTCCTGGGTGCCCTCAGAGAGTCATGCGCTTCGGAACTGTCATTCTGAAATGTGATGGAGGTCAATCGCTTGTTTCTTAGCAGCTTCAGGTAAAACCCAGCGCACTCGGAGTCTTTATCCCTAAACCCTAACAAACCCTAAACCCTAACAAACCCTAAACCATCCTAAACCCTAACAAACCCTAAACCCTAACAAACCCTAAACCCTAACAAACCCTGACAAACCCTAAACCCTAGCAAACCCTAAACCATCCTAAACCCTAACAGACCCTAAACCCTTTATACCTTTCAACCAACTGCTTTCAGCCCCTACCTGGACCTGCCAAGTAGCCTACCTTTTTTAGGGTTCCTTATATTAGAGTTTCTTTGTATAAATCCTTAAAAAGCAACACGTTCCTTATGTTAGAGTTTCTTTGTATGAATCCTTAAAAAGAGGTAAACTCCATGACATTCTCAGCGACCTAGAAATCCCGGTCGGAGAAGCTCTCCGCTCGGCTCCGCTCTGCAGCTGCAAGGCCCTTTACATCGCAGGCGACGGCTGCTCTTAGGGTTTAGGGTTTAGGGTTTAGGGTTTAGGGTTTAGGGGTTTAGGGTTTAGGGTTTAGGGTTTGGGGGTTTAGGGGTTGAGGGTTTAGGGTCCCCAACCCCCAAAGCCTTGAATTGTTTGATCCGTTTATGAAACAACCCCTGGGCCCTAGGCCCTAAACCATCCCCAAACCTCCCTCAAACCTTGCAGGGCAGCGCCAGGCACTTCCGGGATTTCTTGAGGTTTTAGGGTTGCCTGGACCTTTCTCACGCCAGCGTCGAACAGAAAAGTCTCCTCTCCCATATTTTGACTGACGAGCTCCGCTATGCTCATGATTCCTAGATGTCGTTGTATCCGTATGCAAAGCATTCAATGTGCCTTCCCCTAAATATAAATATCAGCGGAAGGTAAACCTAGGCCAGATTGGAGGCGTAGGAATTCTTCGAAATCACTTGGATTGTTCCCCTTCGATCGGGACTATTCTGTGCAATTAGGATGATAGAAATATATTATTTAAATGAATGAATAAAAAATTCAGATAATGATTAATAATAATTAATAATCGACATTCTGATATTTTTTCATATAGGTATAATATATTTCCAGAAATTTTATATATAATATGATTTATATTTGAATTCAATATTAATAATTGGTTATATTTGAGAATATATTATTTCTTCTAATAGAAATATTTAATTATACTAATTAGAATTAAGAGAATCTTAGTGAAAAATAATGAAGATATAAAAAAAAATATATAAGAATTGTTTATCTTTTTCTTAGGATTTAATTATATATATATATATATAGGTT